ATGTTGGTCAATTTTGTGGAGTTGATTAATTTCTACACTCGATCTGAATACGGTAAAAAGGTTCAGTAACTGATTATGGTTCAGATGACTTTTATAAGAAACTGGGGAATTGTTAGAATTAAAATTACAAGTTATGTGTTTAGTGATAAATGAATGAATTTAGATATGTATCATATAATCTATTTCATCAAAGATATTTGGATGGGAAATTACAAGAATATTCTGATAGGGTAAAATTACAAAAATACCCTTATATTGTAGGATGACAAGAATTGTCTCTGGAAGTTGGTTAATAACTCTGAAAAGGCATATTGATCTGATAAATTTACAGATGTGCATAAGAACTGCTAGTTTTACTTGGAAAATTTGGTTAACCGGTTTTTAACCCCAATAGGGTTTATGCACGATACTAGAAGTCTGTTAAGGAATCATTTCAAGATTTGAGAATGTTCCAAAAAGAAATTAACCATAGGATCTCAAAATTATATTTATTTTTGTTAAGAGTAAATACTGAAATTATCTGGTTAAGAAATTACGAAAATGTCATTGTGAGGTAAAATAATCCGAGTTGACCTTGAATGAGAAAGTACTTTGATGATTCGTAATTATCTCGATTAACTACAGATTTGATTGTTAAGATCCTGACTTAGTGTAGAAAAATTCTTGATATTCCGTTTGTAAAATCTGAGAAGACATTTGACCCGAAAATATCCGAGTTATGAGTAAATACCTAAAGAACAATTTATCGGAGGGTGCTCTTTTATCCAAATTGTTTGAAAAGACTGAAATAGATGATAAATTGGAATTAAATAATAAGACCGGATGGAAGGAAAAGATTGAAATACCGTAGATCTGTAAAATGACCAAAATACCCCTGTAATGAAAATGACTCAGGAATATCACCAAGCTCAGGAATGATTGGATATCCTCGAGCTCTGAAATGAATGGAATAAAACTGAACACCAAAATTACCAAAATACCCTTATGGCCTATATTAAGTAAATGTCTTGGTTTAATTAAGGAATCCAAATAAGCATAGGTGTTGGATTACCTTTAGAAGTTATGGAATACAACTTAAGTGAGTTGATCAATCTTAAGGATATGTCAGTACCTGAATGGCATAGATGTTACTTGAATGCATGTTCGTCTTCTCAAGTGTGGTTTGATGATAATTTTGAAAGTACTCAGCTCAGCCCAACTCTAGGTCGCATTCGATAATAAGAAATGGATATTTGTTAGACAAATCAACCACGAAGACCAAATTAAATTAAACGGAAGTACAATATGTATATGAAATTCAGAAACGTTTGGATTATCTGGAAAGCTCTGAAGTAACCGGGATAGACTTGACTCATAAACGAAATGAGTAACCTCAATGACTGAGGATTAAATAGGTGATTGGATGAGTTTGGGAACATTGTTGAACTTACATGATGAATTATCCTTATGGGTCATAAAACATGAATCAAGTACGTATGTATTTCCTGATATCGTTAAAATATGGAAATGAAATAAAGACTATTGGAGGATCTATTCAACGATGTTTACGAAGATGATTTATGGACAAGAATTTTTGGTATTAAAGAGTAAATACTCTGAAAAGGCAGTAAATTGACGGGTGGACATGCATTAGTTCTGAGAGATTGTTCAGCTCAAATTATTCGATAAACCGATCGATTAATATGGATTGTAAATATCTTAAAGCTTTATTTCTCCTTTATTAGCTCAAATCATTCTGTGCATTCTGGAACACTTTCCTGATATATAGTGGGATTCTAAAGTATCAACCTTAAATGTCTGGCTAGATCGGTTAGTAATCGATTTTCCTCAATAGAACCTTGTTCCTGGAATCCGATCAAATTGCTCGAGTTTCATGTTGTTCTTATTGATAACGATAAATGCCTCTGAAAAATATATGTGGATACTCTAGTGTGTTCCAAATGAATTACATGACAATTTTATATGTTTTGAAATGAGTTTAGTACAAGTATTGATTTATTGGCTTATGAACCATGGCAACATGGTAAGTGATTTATGATTATGGTTTTATCGAAAATATAAATTGTTTCTGATTTATGGAATCACAGAAACTACTGGTTTATTAATTATGGTTCTATGTTTCACTGGTTATACTAGAACTGTTTTACTGGGATATTATATGAGTAGACTAGAGGTACAGCTCTGATCAAGCTAGAAATTTCTTACGGACCTAAGGGGATCTTTGGGTAGGCTTTCAGGCCCAAGGTACTCCCTTGGGTTAATCATTTGACTACTTATGGTGTACAGGTGGAAATTTGATATACGATTTATTTCATGATAACAGATATGACATATTACTGGATCACGATCCATGTATTACGATTTACGAATAAAACTGATTTCTACTGGATTTTTATATGAATAGGAATTTGGAGTATGGAGGCACAACCCTGATTCGACTGTAAGTCCTTACAGACCTAAGGATATCTTGGGTAGGCCCCAAGGCATATCCTTAGGTTAGTTCCCTTTGCTGTGTGCATAAGGTAACCCTACGGACCTAAGGATATCTTGGGTAGGTCCCAAGGTATATCCTTAGGTTGGTTTTTCCTTTGTTGTGTGCATAAGGTAACCCTACGGACCTAAGGATATCTTGGGTAGGCCCCAAGGTATATCCTTATAGATGTGTGCTTAAGGTAACCCTACGGATCTAAGGATGTCCTTGGGTAGATCCAAGGTATATCCTTAGGTTGGCTCCCTTTGTTGTGTGCTTATGGTAAGCCCTACGGACGCAGTTCTAGGGAACTGCATAATGGAGTTTGGTTGGAAGGTTCCACTATAATTTTAAAAAGATTTATATCTTTTCGCTGGTTTTGATTGGAACACACTAGACATCCTTTTCGACTCATAAAAATGAGATACTTTGAATGATTCCTATGAACTGTGATCTTCTTGGCTTCAACTTGATGAACTACTTATGAAACCCTAGATTATTCCATAATGGGTATACGAATGATTCAATAAGGAAATTATATGGCTTTCCATTTATCTGCATGTCATGTAGCATAATCTGGTAGTTCTGTATTACTGAGCTTTCCGAAGCTCACTCTATTACTCATCATTACAGGTTAAAAGAATTGTACCAGTATAGCTATCAACATCAGTAAGGGAGTTCTTCCGGCGTTGCTTGCAGAGTATGGTACATGTTATTAGGGGGCATGTAATTGTATTTTGTTTTATATCTGAGTTTGAAAAACCTGTTTTATTTCTGAATAATAATAAATCGTTTTATGATTTGACATGTTTTAATAAAAGTTTTAAAATTCCCGCTATTTTTACGGTGGGTCGCTCCGGTGGCCTAAATGTGACACTCCAGATCGGATCGGGCTATCCGCATTGGTCTGAGGGGGGTTACAATCAAGAAAATGAGTTATTATAATAATTTTCTTTTGAAAATTTTACTAAAACAATAATTTTGATATACAAAATTAAAGCTTAGTTCAGGAGTGCGATTACGTATAAAGAAAGATATCACTTTTAGGGATGGATCGAAAGGGGTGAGTACACTACAGCAAAATTGTTCTGTAGCGACGTTTTTAGCGGTGTTTGGAGAGTAAACGCCACAAAAGTTAAACATATAGCAGCGTTTACAATCCAAATGCCACAAATTGATACTTTAACGGTGTTTTTTTGTACAAACGCAACAATAGAGTAGAAATATAGCGGTGTTTTTACCAAAAACGCCGCAATATGGTGGTTAATAGTGGCATTTTTCCAATAAACGCCACAATGAAGAATACTTTTGCGTTGTTTTTAGACAAACGCCACAGAAGGGTTAATCAATAGCGGCGTTTATAGTAATATGCTTACCTTACTGATGCAATAAAGAACTCTGATGACCAAATTGCAGAACAAGCAATGGAGCTTATTCATCATAAGTAACTACTTCTACTATGCTATATTATCCTTCAAGTTGCTTTGTATAGTACCACAACACGTCATTTGCTCAGTTGTAGATCCGCCACTGCATTGATCGTCAATTCCACGACATTCACAATGATGGCAAGTAGTGGGGATCATAGGACCTGTTGGGTTGAACATGGTTTCCCTTGCTGCCAAAAGGCATGCTGTTCCATTTGTTGTCGTCGTAGGTTGTCACACGGTATGTACATTGCTTTAAATACAATATTTTTTGGCCTTCGGGTCGGGTGAAGCTCGTTTCAGTCCGTGATGATATCCGTTTGTTTTAATGCTCGATAGTTATGTCTGGTTCATCGAAACTATGTCGAAGTGTTTGTGAACGAAATGAGATCACCACCTTAAACTCTCCATTTGTTATAATGCTCGACGATGTCCATTCGCTATGGAACAAGGACAACAACAGCGGATAACAACACTATCGGTTGTCGCACTCGGTATCAGGGATTTAAGTTACGATTGCAATCACATTTTCGATTGCATTGTATTTATTGCAATTGTGGCAATAGCGGGTATTGTGTTAGTCATTGTGAGTATGATGATTGCATTAATGGTTTCAAATGACACCTTTACCGCTATATAACAGCCGCTATTTAAATTCTTTCTCGGTATTCTGACAGAACTCCTCGAACTTAGCACTATTCTTGGAACAACTCGTTGTACTAGCGTTATCACCATCGACAAAAGAAAAAAAATTTATATTATAAAAACAAGAGTTAAATTGATATTTTATCTAAATTTTAAGAGCTAAATTCAAAATTAACCCTTTCAACTAACGGATCATATCATCAAACAGACATGCGTCAACGACTGAGTGACTAGAATACAATCAATCAATAAGTGATTTGTAATGTAACTTTTTCAAAATTGGTGACCAAAAGGAAAATATACTTAAAACAAAAGGGACTACAAGTAATTTTTACCCAAATCAAAATCAAACACAATTCACACAAATAAAAGGAGATAAAAAGGAAATAAAAGCGCCTATTCGCGAGAGAGTGATTTCATTCATCATCTCTTCCATTTCTATGAATTACAACATTCTTTTCTTTTCTTATTTTCTCACAGCAATAAAGATTTCAATTTTTCTTTCTGTTAATCCTAAGATGTCTGTCAAGTCTCTCATAATTACTGGATTTATCAATCCTTTGAAACCCACTGCTTCTTCTTCAAGCTCTGGGAGTAGTAGCAGCCTCTCTTTAGTTAAGAAACCACTCACTTCTTCCTTATTCAATGGCGTAGGTACTCTTCCTTTGGCCTTTTCTTTCTTTCAATTTTAATGGGTATTTTCTCATTTTTCTTTCTAATATAGTTAATGAAGTGTTTTCTATTTTCCTCTTGTACTCGCCTTTGGAGTAAGATTAATATTGGAATTTGGAACTAAATTTTGCTTATTGTGATGGGATATATCGAATTTATGCTTTTTCCCCTAAAGAAATACGCTTCGATTGTTACTGTAAATCTAGAGCAATCGTGTCTTTGCCTGATTAGAGAAAAGAGGGTTGCCAATGAATGTGTATTTGATAAGTATATTGGCTAGCCTGCTGACTTCACTCAAATGGAATGCAAAAAAATACTTTTCAAGTTGAACTGGTTTTATTGATGATCACATTTATATATTCCGTGAGCAAAGCTAAAGCTTAGTTATATGGTGAATCAAATGCGTTCTTGAAGACATTAATATATTAAAGCATAAACAGTTTGCTGAGTAACAGCAGTTGAATGATTTACGTCTCAAAAAAGATAAATCAATTCTATAAAATAAAATACTATTGATGAACTGATCAGTTCTCCTGCAATAAGTGTGCTTGGTTTGGGTAATGAAATTTTGAACTGGTAATCATGTGAGCCACCATCTTTTCAGCCTATTTTCTTCCATTTTTCTATTGATTTGACTGTTTTATTCACATTCTGGCTGATGATAGGCAGTGTAAAGTAAGATTGGAACTCCTGTGAAAAACAACATTTTCTCATTCTAGTATATGACAATACTAAATTCAAAGGACCATCTAACATCATCTTAAAAAAGGCTAAATACAAACATTTATAATAGGTTCAATCTATACTTTAAAATATAGATTTTTTTATTTTATAAAATAGTGGCTGCCCTAAAAGTTACCAGCACAAGGACCCTTCCAGGAAGATCTCATTGTCATAGACAAGGTGGAGGCGCTCTTGGTACACGCATGAACCTTTTTGATCGATTTGCTAGAGTTGTTAAGGTCAGAGTTTAGGAACTATTTATATATAATCCAAGTAATGATATCGTGGCTTCTAATTCCAACTTTTGGTGTGTTATATCAATAACTCGATTTAGTTCACTGATAACGGCAGTCATATGCAAATTCAATCTTAAGTTCCTTTGAAGACCCTGAGAAAATTTTGGATCAAGCTGTGCTCGAAATGAATAATGACTTAGTGAAGATGAGACAGGCCACTGCACAAGTAAGCCGCGTAATTTTTTATTTCTTGTGTTCCATTTTAAAATTTTCTTTTGGTTCCTTTCTTTTTGTTCACATAATTTCCTTTTTCTCACCTTCCTTTTCACTGTTTTTTTATATTCTTTTATTCACTTTTATTCATAATTGCATAGCATATGTACTCAACTGTGCATGCCTATATATTCTTAGAATCCTATTTGATATGTTATTCTGCAGTTTCAGTGTAATTTTCTTCCGACATTACTATACATTTGATCTTTTTTCTTCTCTCTTTTTGAAGGTATTAGCGTCTCAAAAGCGGTTGGAAAACAAGTACAATGCTGCACAACAGGCTTCTGAAGAGTGGTAATTGATCAAGGGTTTTTTGTCTTTAGTCTGTGAAATATGCTATTATTTAAATGTTCCCTTTAAGTTTTTGATTTCATAAAGGTACCGCAAAGCACAGTTGGCTCTGCAGATAGGAGAGGAGGATCTTGCACGTGAAGCCTTCAAGAGGCGTAAATCTCTTGCTGTAAGATGACTTCATGCTGAAATCGTTTCTCTGAGCACTCATCTAAAATCATTCCATATCTACAACCCTCGAAATTTGTAAAAGAACATTAGTCAAGTTGTCTTCCAAATATTTGATTTCATAAGCTGACAGGACACTTAAAATTTGATATGCAAGTAATAAAATTTTCCTAGTCAAGTCTTTACCTGAACTATTTTGTGGCTTTTTAAAGGATTGAGGAAACCAGAAATTTAAATTAACAAACTTAGCATGGTTTAGCCATTGATTGGGGTGACTATTTTTTTATATTTTACATAATCAATGTAAGGAGAAAGTTTGGTTTGGGTTGGCAACAAAGAAAATCTGATCAGATTTGTTGGGCTTGGGTTTTTATGGTTCTAGTACTTCTTCTCATGGAAAAGTAGAGGAAGACTACGAAAGGATGCTGAATTTATATGGAGATAGAAAAGGAATAAAGAAAAGAGAAGACGAGTTGATGGGTAAAAAAAAGGCTAATTGAAGAAATAAAGTCATTTGGAACATTTTCAATTACTTTGGCATATCTCATGGTTCAAATTCTAATCTTCAATTTGTAAGGTATTTTAGGATTCAAATTGGTATTTTGAATTTTAAGATCTAAGTTGTAGATATAAATATTAATGTTATTTCAATAACATTAATTTCCGTTTGGTTTGCATTGGGATTAAACTTGAGATTTGAGGTTTTTGAGTTTAATTTGGTTCCTCTATGTCTCCTATCTATTTCCTCGTGTTTCCCAACTTAGGCTTGTTCTAGCAACAAAATTTACAAAATGACCAGTTGGCATGATGATCTGATTTATTGGCTAAAGAGACTATGCCTGTGTAACTGATTCATGTAATTTTCAATGGATTGAAAGTGCCCTATTTCTTCTCTTGTTTTAGAACCTATTACAATTCGTAGTTCATAAAGTAAATAGCATCTTTCTGGCTGAATAATTGATAAATTGCCATTTTCCCATTTTGTTGCAGGATAATGCTAATTCATTGAAAGCTCAGCTTGATCAACAGAAAAGTGTTGTTGATAATCTCGTCTCTAACACGCGAGTAGGTTTCTGTTTAACCTTTTTTTTTAAAACTTGTTTCTATTTAACTTTTTGATTATTAATTTGATTGAATTATTATCTACTTAGATAATTTGGTTGGGATTTTTACCATGACATATATTGCCTTAGGTTTTAGTTCACTTTGTTTCATGTTTGGCATGAATTGAAATATATGATTATTATGTTTTGGATATGTATGAAACACAAGCATCTAAAGGTTAAGATTTGTTTTGAATAAAAAGGCTAGGGAAGAGGAAAGAATGTTGTACTAGCACTTTGTTGATCTTGGTGTTCTGAATTATTGTTTAAATGAGAACCTGGTTAGGAGATGGAACTGAACTCTTTCTATATATGATCCATTAGTTAGAGGTATGAAATCATTCTGAATAGAAATGGAGCAGTTCTAGTTGCCTTCTTAATTGGCCGAATTAACAGTGATGCTTCATCTCAGCAATGTGTTGAGAACTTGCAGGATGCCAACTAGCTTGAGAATCATCCTCTCTATCTTTCTTTGCATACCTTTTAGCATACTTTGTAGGTCACTTTGTTAGACTGAGACATTTTTTCCTTATAATTATGACATGATTTTGATGAAAATAAATTTGATGAAATAATACATATAATAAGAGAATTTTCTATATAATTATTTTTACCTTGTTATTAGTTGTACATTGATGGATTTGTTGTGGTTGCATTCCCTGAATTCCATGTTGTATAGCTTTTGGAGAGCAAGATACAAGAGGCAAAGTCAAAGAAAGACACTTTGAAAGCTCGTGCTCAGTCTGCAAGGTGATACCCAATATTCCCATTGCTACCTGATTTAGTGTGTTTTTTAAATTGAACTTTCTGGTCATGCTCAGTTTGATGTTGCTTCAGAACTGCAACTAAAGTCAAGGAGATGGTGGGAGATGTCAACACTGGCAGTGCTTTAGCAGCTTTTGAGAAGATGGAAGAGAAAACACAGCCTATTTTTATAGGCTATAGATTACAAGTTAGAGTCCTACGAGGTTTCTTTTCTTCCTAACTTTTATCTCCTAAATCTTATCTCAGTTCATAAGAAATTTAATCCTAATAGTACAATATAGATAAATTATATATAAATTAAACTTTATCTCCTAAATAAATTAAACTTCCAAGTGAAATAAAATTCCTAATTATAGAAGGCTTCCTAAACTCCCCTCAAACTAGGTGTATATGTTATATAAACCCAGCTTGGACTTGAATCCATCAAAGTTAGCTCTTGGAGGGCTTGTAAAAATGTCCGCAAGTTACATTTGAGTTGGAATGTAGCTCAATTCAACAGTCCTATTGTTGACTTTCTCCGAAATAAAGTGTCTCCATCTCAACATGATTGATCGTCACTTTTTACCGTGAAATAATCCTTAAAATCAACCCTTAATTCCTTGAACAGTCTCTGAATCCATATTCCTTCACAGATTCATCAGGTAAGAGCTTGAAATTCAGCCTCTACATTGCTTTAAACCACAGACTGCTTTTTGCTTCTCCATGTAAGAAGATTACCCCAAGCAATGGAGTGATAGCCACTTGTAGATCTTACGATTAACTCTCCAGCCCAACTTGCATCAGTATATACATCTACCTCACAGTTCACTCCTTTTAAAGAGTAAACCTTGACCTGTTGCCTTCTTTAGGTATCTTAGATTTTAGTTTACAGCCTCTAGATGCTCTTCTCGTGGTCATTCATATGGTGGCTAATAATACTCACTGAAAATGCAATGTTTGGTATTGTGTGAAAGATGAGCTTGCTTACTAGTCTTTGGCATTGCTATTTGTAAATTGGCACTCCGTTATTCTTAATTTTAGATTAGGATCCATGAGAGTTTCTACTGGTTTGCACCCAAGAATTCTAGTCTTGGTTAACAAGTCCAGAATATACTTTCTTTAAAAGATCACAATTTCTGCTTCATATTGAGCAACCCCCATCCTTAGGAAATATTTGAGAGAACCAAGGTCTTTGATTTCAAAGTCAGTTGCAAGTCGACGTTTTACCTCGATGATTTCTTGTGTCATCTCTTCATATGATAATATCATAACATAAACAACAAAAATGATCTTCTTACCTTTTGACGAGGTTTTCACGAACAAGTTGTGATCTGCTTGACACTGATTGTATCCATAAGTGACCACTGCTTTGGTAAACCTATCAAACTGTGCACTAGGAGACTGTTTTAAACCATATAGTGATTTCTTCAATTTGCATACTTTGTAGCTAGTAGCATTACTTTCTAAGCCTCGAGGTATGTTCATGTAAATTTATTCAAGGCCCTCGTTTAAAAATGAATTATTGATGTCTAGTTGATATAAAATGTATTTTTGATGTCTAGTTGATATAAAAGCCACTCTTCATTTAATGCCAATGACAGCAGTACTTGAACTGTGTTTAGTTTGGCAACAGGAGAAAATGCCTTATGGTAATCAATCCGTATGATTGAATGAACCCTTTTGCCACCACCAGCTTTGGTAAACCTATCAAGCCAAGCACGAGGAGGCTGTTTTAAACCATATAGTGATTTCTTCAATTTGCATACTTTGTAGCTAGTAGCATGACTTTCTAAGCCTGGAGGTATGTTCATGTAAATTTTTTCAAGGTCCTCGTTTAAAAATGTATTATTGATGTCTAGTTGATATAAAAATGTATTTTTGATGTCTAGTTGATATAAAAGCCACTCTTCATTTAATGCCAATGATAGCAGTACTTGAACTGTGTTTAGTTTGGCAACAGGAGAAAATGCCTTATGGTAATCAATCCCGTATGATTGAATGAACCCTTTTGCCACCACTAGCTTTGAATATTTCAACACTTCTGTTTGCCTTGTATTTGACTGAATATCCACTTACAACCTATTGTTTTCTTCCTTTGTTGTAGTTTTGTGAGAATCCACATGCTATTATTTTCTAAGGCCTTTTTTAATCTGTTTCACACCTTTCGAGTATCTAACCGATAGCTGCCGCCTATTACGAACGGCAAAGGATCGTTGTTATACCTGGATGAATTCCCAAGTTTATCATAAAACTGAAGCTTGCGATATTCGGGCAGATTTCATTTGGTATAGAGGTCACAGTTCGGGATAAGAGAGAAGAGTGCAGATGCTGAGACTGAGTTTTAAACTTGAAATTGCCTTGTTTAATTGACATGGAGCTGTTCAATTGGGAGCCTTAGACACTATAGAAATTGCTTAGGAAGAAAAAAAAAAAAGGAGGAAACGTGTCAAAACTTTTAGCAGAGGGAGGCTATAAAATTCAAAGCATAAAATATAATTAGCGGTCATTGAACGAAAAATGAAGTGCCGTCACTGTAGCTTCACTGTAATAGTTAGGGTTTCAGTTTTCTTGCACGCCATTCCATTCAAAATAAGCAAACATTGGACTTCATTATTAATTACTTCAGTTTTGTATGATACCAAAAATATTATCAAGTTTATTTTAAAAAGTACATAATTGATAGTAATTTTAATTACAATTGAAAATGTTATATTAACGTAGGTTTTATCCTAAAATATTATTTTGTCTACTCTAAAAGCTTATACAATTGAAAATAATTTCATTTACAAGCGAAAATGTTATATAAGTTTATTGACGGTAAATTTTTATGTTGCAATTATAATGATTATGTAATTTACCTTATTTGTTATGGAGAATGTAATATTTTCAATTTTAATCTAAAATGTTACTCAATTTATTCTAAAGAGTTACGTAATTAATAAATTTTTCAGTTACAACGTATCAGTGACGAAACCATTAAGGATTCAAAGTAGGCACGTGCCAACCCTAAAATCTGAATTTTCTTTGAATAATTACGTATTTTAGTGATTATGCCCATCCTAAAATTTTTTATGTGTCCATCCCGTATAAAAAAATTGTGATTAATATATATGTGTGTCCACTCTGAAAAATATTTATGGATCTTCACTACAACCGATTGCAACTATTTAAATTGTAATTTATGACTTCCTAATTGTTGACTAATGTGATTTATGTATAGTATCTTAAACACGACAGAAACCAACTATCTACCTTATGGAAAAGGGAATTACATGTATGTAGTGTTAGATTTAAAAATATTTTTGAAAGCGAGTACATATATATTAATAATATAAATTTTTCGTATGAGGTGGAAACAAATAAATTTTCAAGATAGATGCCTTCAAAAAAATAAATTACTAAAAAAATTTGAATTTCAATATCCACCCTGTACAAAACCCTGCATGGATGCAGTATGAATTCAAGTATTCAAACAACTCGTCCTTCTGACACATTCAAAACCCTAAACCCCATTTTCAAACGCCATTTCCACAGTTTTTTTCCTTTTTTTATGCCTGCTGCATGCATGACTGGTTCAAAACTCCTTGGTCAACACGTAATCTGTTCAAAACCAATTGCCAAAATCACAACTAATATATTCAAACCATTTTACTAGACTCCAACTCTACCAACCTTGCCTATATATATACACTTCATTTCTCTTCCATACTTCATACCAAAAAATAAAAAACCTACATATATAGCTTTCAGCAACAAAAAAAAGGTTATAGTTTGAGCTATCAGGTGAAGGAAAACAAGGGCGATTTCAAAAGATGAACAGCAGAAAATTGTGCACCCTTTTGATCATTTTCGCAATTTCGGTGGCCATTACGAGCCATGTTCAAGTCGAGGCGACGCGAGTTTTGAGCGAAGATTTTGCTAAAGCAAATCACTTGGAGACATACTCGTCGGTGTACGAGAAGGCCAAGTTCACCATGTCGTGCTGGCTCGAGCGCTTGGCGTCTGGACCCAGTCCTAGAGGACCTGGTCACTAGAATGGTTCAAGTCTGGAAAATCCAGTAATGGGTCGATTATGCAGACTAGAAGAAAGTTGTACTTTGTTATTTATTATTTATTATTTATTATTGTTTTATTTCTTTTTTAATTATAGGTAGGTTCAAGTTTATATGATGCAGCTGCAGCATATTGCATATATAACATTATATGCAAATGTAAATCTACAAATAAATTTTTTTCTTATGAGCAAAGTTGCCATTTGGAATTAAGAAAATAGTATTATAATTGCACAAATCAAACAATGTTGATGGTAAATGAATTGTCATTATTTTTTGAGGTTTTGGGTTCGAACACCATGAATGTCAGGGGTCGGACTCGTCCATTAGTAAGTGTAACTTGTGACATGTCTCCGGACTTCAAAATTTAGGGGCCCACACTTTGAAAAATCTTGTAACCCAAAATTTTTTTATTCCTATCATACGTATGAGTGAAGAAAACTTGTATGTTTGGATTTTTTAAATTTTTAAGAAATAATCATAATATGATAAATTTTGATATTTTACAATATTATAACATATTTTAAGTGTCTTATTTTAAAAAGTAACACATTGTCTCCACATTTTTTGGGACAGACTTGTCAAGGGTGTGAGTGTTTAATGTCAAATGATTGAGAGTTGTTTTTGAATAGATATTGTCTTGTATGTACCCTAAATTAATAAAAAAATAGTGTTATAATTATGAACATATACTATTTTGTAATAAGTGGTGCATCTATAAATTGTTTATGGAGAACACATATACATTAACATTATAAAATCTTTATATGGGATGAATATAAATAAAATTTCTAGATATACACACTCAATAAAATATGTAATTATCTAAAAAAAATCAGATACACTCCCTCACCAAAACATAGATCCACCAACGCTTGTAATTACCCATACTATTAAAAAATAGTGATATAATTCAATTTTGAACATAAATAAAAGGACTAAATATCTTTGTACTCATAATTAAAAAAAATCTTTGATTTTATGGCCAAGTGATTAATATTTCTTAGTATTTTATTTATTTGGGAAGAAATGATATATTGTAAAACTTCCTAAACTTTTAAATTAAATTCACATCTAAATTTCTCTAAACTTAGAGCATATTTGATAATTATGAGTCATATTTTAAAATTATTTTATTTATCATTATATCGTTGAGCTTGTGATTTATTAGCATGTAGGCAAGAGTTTAAAAATAAAAAATATTAAATTTTGTTATAGCGTTTAATTTTGTCACAGAAAAATATTTTAGACAAAAAAATATATTTATAGCTAATTATCTGATGGATGACCGCGATGGAGTGATAAAAAATTCCATACATACATGATACATGGATGTTCTAATATTATGTTTGATAATTAAATAATGGTTTTTAGTTGTTTTATTTAAATATAAGATAAAATTATAAATCAAAAGTAAAAATACATAATAACAAAAAAGTACTCAACATTTTATTTTTTAATTGTACCCTTAATGTTGTCATGTTACATCAGTAAAAATATTGACTATTAGTTGATTGTCAATTAACCACCTAATAAGGACTTATTTTAAAAATAAAATAAAATAAAATATTAGTAGGCAATGAAAAGACTCTAAAAGGCAACAGAAAAAGTGATAAATGTTGAGGGATGTTTTTACAATTATACCTAAATTATTACTAAATAATTTTATTAAT